TTTTCAGTCCTCAATTCCTATGCAGGCTTGGACGCGGTGATCTCGGTGTCTTTACTCTGCTGCCATCTTCCGGAAGTCCCCCACATCCTATATTTTTAAAGACATTTCCTTAGTCTATAAAAACATAATGGGTAATAAGTCCTCATATTTTAAAGTGTAGACAGAATCAAGATTGTAAGGCCACTAAGGTAAATATAAACTATACAACAGCTATTTCTAGTTTTTTGTTTTATTTTTTTTAAGATTTATTTATTTGTGCATACAGAACTGGAGTACAGGTAGAGGTGCAGGGGTGGTGACAGGCTTCACCAGAGACAGAGTGGGGAGCAGAACAGGCAGATGGACGAAGTACACAGTGAAGGGAGCAGCAGTAGGGTCAGGAGAGGTCTGTGCACCATGTGGGTCATCTCTGGGGCAAGTGGGCAGCAAACTCATGTGGAAGTGACTTCAGCTTCTAAGTGCTGTACTTTAACCCACTGCACCACCAGGAAGGGCCATAGTGGGTTTTTAATAATTAGAAAAACTAAAACACCATTCCCATTATGCTTAAAGATACTTTTTCACTGTAGTGCACTTCAGCGGCCCCAGTTCACATCCTCACTCTTTGACAAACATACATAGCACTAGTAAAAACTCTGAGAAGTGGTTTTGGTCTTCCTTTTCTTGCTAACATCATGTTGAAACATTTGAAAGCATTAGATATTGGTAGTGAAATTATTGATAAAAGTATGTGGATTAATTTAAAACAATGAACAGAGGGGTGAAAGAAATAAACTCCTTTACTCACCAAATGTGTGCAATACAGTCAGTTCTCCTTGAATATCTTTTACATCTTCCTCCTCATCATTTTCATTTTCATAGATGGGTGACAGAGAGGCAGGAACATAATTAAGCAGCTGAGGTGGTTTCTTGAATAGAAGACCTGGAAACCTCACAACTTCTAATTGTTCTTTTTCTTCCTCTAGCTCATCATCATCTAAAGCTAAGAACAGAAAATGCCAGATTCAACATGCTGGGCTGAAGAAAGAAAAACTGAGCAAGTATTGATGAGAGAGTTGAACTAGACAACCAAGGCAGGGGACAAGTAAAAGGAAAACTCTTTGAGAAGACCATTTCAAAAAGTCTATTGTAAGTGAAGGCGAGAAGCAGCGAACACAAAGTGGAAACAGCAATAGCAGAGAGAATAAAAAGAAAAGAAAGATTCTGCGCTATGAAGAAAGGGGACAGGCTGTGTTAAGAAGTGTGTGTTCTCCATTGCTTCCAAAAAAACAAGAGGAAGGTTGAAGAGATACAATAGTTTAGAAGAGATACAATACAATTCTACACGGTGACTTACACATACAGTTTTTTCCATCACTTCCAATTCTGTAGCCTTCTTCACAAGTACAGTCGTATGTCCCTACAGCATTTATACAGAGCTGGTCACACACTCTGCTCACATCCAGACACTCATCCACATCTAGGAACAATTAAACCACCAATTTAGACATTTTTAGTCATTAAGGTAATAGACATTATGAATGCCTGGCCACATTTGACACTTTTAATAATCATTAGCAAAGTGTTTTCATTAAAAAAAAAAAAATAGGCAGGATCCCTGAAAACTTTCTTAAGTTATATTTTTCTTTCACTCATTTTCAAATTTGTTCCAAGTTACTTATAAATACAAGGTTTTTCTGAAGCCTTGCTCTTGTACTTTTGATTAAGACTTCAAAACTCAAATTCAGTGGTCTCAAGCTTCATAAATGTTTTGCAGATGGTTCACTTACTCTTGAATTATTTAATATCTACAATGAAAAAATGATTCCATGCAAAATTCTGTACAAGGTTTGTGGGGAATTTTAGAGATGGAAGAACCCTAGGCCTTAGTCTAATGTAATTTACCAGAGTATGTCCATATCTAATTACAGGCTTTGGTCAATGTGTTTTTAATACTGAGAGTTTATTTATAAAATTGAGCTTCTAAGTTTTGCCTCAGTTTGTAGATGCATTTTCAATTCAGATATTCCACAACATATATTCATGTCATGCAATTAACACTTGGTTCTCTCTACTTAAGAGTAGATGACATACAGAAATCATTTTCTGGCCCTCTTTATTGGAATGTGGCAAATGCAATTTCTCTACTGTATTTCGAATATACAGATAGCCTAATTGTGTTTTGTTTTGTTATCTATACTTCAAGCTGGAAAGTTTGGCTATCTATATAAAGAAATGTCCCTGTGATTTTCAATAGAATTCTGGAATTTGTTTCTTTAAGCAAAGAAAGACAATTTCCTCTGAGGCATTAGAAATTTATATAATTTAATTAAAGGAGATAATACTATTTGGTTAATACTACTATTAACTAAAGGGTAATAGTATTCTAACTTTTAATTTGATTTAAAGAAAAAATTCAGATAAAATAGTGATAGTGATGATCACAAAATGAAAATTGTGTTTAAATATTTAAGGTAAACTTTTAAAAGTAAATTAATGCAATGACTTATATGAGCTTTTCTTATTGATATGAAAATGATTATTAACTTTATTTACTAACTTTAAACTCTCCTATGATAGGTTTTTAAAAATATGTAAGCTAGAAATACCTGGAAGATAAATGAGCCAAGTTTAACAAATGCTAAAACGTTATAAAACAATTCATCTTAAAACTTGCATTAGCAACATTAATATCAGATATATAAAACATTCTGAGAGATTTGGACTATAGCTTATGAACTTGCAGTTTTTTTGCCACTGCTCTATAGTTAAAATGACTTCAAGAAACCAACTTTCAAATTTCAATCAAGTTCCCATCAGTGATTCCTATGGCAGTGTACTCAAGCATGCCAGAACCTCTTTCTTACCTAAACATATTAAATTAGGTAAAAGGAATTATGGGAAATGAAAATTATAATAGTAGTTGTAGTATAACAGCGTGATTACTCTAGTTGAGTGATTTCTCAGTGTCCATCATTGTGCCGTATACTTTACATTAACTATTTTCCTTTCTTTTAACCCACTAATCTTATTATTGTCTTCACGTTACTTATGAAGAACTGAGGCTCAGAGCAGTAGATAAAGCTCACAGTTGTAAAAGGTAAAAACTACATAGAATTCCAAGTCTTCAGTGTCAAAGTCTTCCCGTTCCCATCCTAACCCTCTCTCTAGGGTGTCCCTTCTCTACTAATGTCCCATTGAGTCAATGATATCACATTGGGCCTCAGGGATTTACCATCACATCCACAACCATCAGAGCTGATCAAAAAGCCTTCCTGACAACCGCATTCATAGCCTCCTGAATAATTGATACAGAGCTGGGCACAGCAAGCTTCTCCACTCTCACATTCATCAAAGTCTGTAAAGGAAAAAGATAATTATTATTTAAGATAAGGAGTGTAACCATGCTCTGGATAGCATGATCAACTTCACCTCTAATTTCAATGTTTTCTAATAGTTTTCTATTTTTCAGGCCACCTGCTACAAGAACTGGAAACATAGTAACAAAAAGATTGAGGCCCACATTTGGGCTTGTATTCCTTGAATGCTTCTTATATTTCTACTCTTTATTTTAAAGGTATGTAAATAATTTCCAACTGCATTTAGACACACAGGAAAGGGAGTCTCTGCTATTTTTTACAGTTTAAACAGCAGTTTGACTGAATAAACAGAGAAGGCAGAACACAAACAATAAACTCCACCCAGCTTTAGAAAGAAGTAAAAAAATTCCATCTACTGAATTTTCAGGAGCTACAAAATGGAGGGAGTCTTATTCCATTGTGTTTGTTCTTCTAGAACTCCAGATGAAAAAGCTTTCCCATAAAAATGGAGCTCACACAAATGGAAAGACAAAGTGTTAGCTTCAATTTGAGAGTGAACAGACAATTAACTTAAATATTATCCTTTACATTATACAATATTTCATAACATCTGTTTTAACTTTTTTATGATGCTATGAATGAAATAATTAGGACCAAGGCTTTAATTATAACTGGTGACGCCACTACTCTGGGATGTCATGTTAGATAAACAGTTACTAAATAATGATTTTGAAGTCTCCTTTAGCATTTGTATTCTGGAATTATAAGTCCTGAATGACTCCTAGGGAAAATAAAATGCCCTAGAAGATGTGAACATTAATCCCGTTAGTCAAAGTATAATCTATTTGCTTTAGTTTTGAATTGATTGTTTCTAACATAATTGGCTATGAAGCAGCAGCAGACTATCCACTGCTTTCTTTAGGTTAGACACCAGGAATTTGTACGGCCAGCGTTTTTGGCTATAGCATTTGGTTCAATCAGCCTCCTGGATGTGCTGAGCTGTTAAGTTTGGTGGTCTGTCAGTGCTAAGTTTACAAAGTCCCTTTGCTCCACGACTACATGAGTAGTCAGAGATATAAAATGTCAGTGTCTCAATTAACCTTGCAAAGGCTACTGATGTAAGGAAATGCAGACAAGAGGAGAGGAAGGGTAGAAAATGTAATCAATCAACTGAGGTGAGGGGGGTCACCATAAAATATCTAAATGAAGGTCATCTGTACACAAAACTTTCTTTCTCTTGTAAAATGTCACAGCAGTGCTACTCATAAAAAC